ATAAAAACATATGTAAAACGCCAGAAAAATCAATTTCTATTATTCTTCAAAAATTCCTTAAAATTATCAATTTTTCATGCTAGAGTAAACTAGGCTCTTAAATTATCAAAGTTATCAAATAAACAATTACGCACGCTGACTTTTTGTTTGATATCAAAATTAATTCAAGCAGAACAAAGACCATCGAGCCGCTTCGATGGCGAATTACCATGAAATTGAAATAAAATGGCGAGAGAGAGAAAGGAGGAAAAGAGAAAGAAAGAACTTTCTGCATATACGTGTTCTCGTATTATGCGCAAGTATGCGCGTCGAATAGAGTTGCGGCGCATTTAATCCGTGAGAAATGGACACGGCGTTATCGTAGCACGCAGCGGGAAAAGAAATGCGAAAATAAGAGCGAACGCGCTCCTCTAAGCTATGCTACGTACGTTTACTCCGGGTTGTCCCGGCATTGTGTGTGCGTGTTTATTACTGCAATTTACGGGCAAGGGCATCGCATGATAGTTATGCATTATATGAGGAGGCGTATTAACATGTCCGAATGTTGGAGACGCGATCAGTTTTTGTCGGATGGCGTAGTCCCTCGGATAATTACGTGCCAGGAAATGGCAATAAAATTGCCCGTGTATTTTTAATAAGATTAATTAAGTTCCCGCAGGAGTATTCTATCTGCGCGTCTGTTCAGGCCGGGGGGGAGGGAATTCTTGAAATAATAAACATTTTTTTTTTATCGGGGTGTTTACTCAAATCTTGTAAAACAATTTCCTAAAAATTCCCTGATCTTCCAGATATTTTTCTTCAAAATTGCAGATAAAGAAAATATTTTAAAGATTTTTTGATGCAACTTTCTAAAATCAGTTTTTTTTATTGTATGCATTTTTTAATGTTTTTCACATATACGAAGGAAAAACAGAGAGTCATTGAAGATTCAAATCTTACATTTGCAAATGGACTGGAAGAAAACTTTATAAAATAACTTTCGTAAGATAAACATTTTTCACTTGCATATAAAATTTTCATTTTTTTATCACTAAAAATTACAATATTTTGTTAAGACATTGAATACATAAACAGTGATAGATATATATTTATAATAATAAATAGAAAATATATTTATAATTTTGTTGTCATTTTTGTATTTATCACATCTTCAAAAAATAATGTTAGAATAAATGATAAGTAATCTTTGCTACTAAATAAAAATTGAATAAGAAAATAAACTCTCTCTTTGATTTTATTTTAATAAAATAATAATAATATTCCTATGGAAGAAAGAAAGAAAGAGAGAAAGAGAGAAACGTACATTCTTTATTTTTGCCAATCTCAAAGGCATTCCATCAAAGAAGAATGAACAGCACTGGGTTAAAGGGTTAATTAGTCGCCACTGGAGCAAAGTGCCTATATACAATGAGGGGGGCCCCCCTGCGCTCGTAGGAACTACGGGTGGGTAGTCGTTCTAACCTCGTGAGCCAGCCAGCAGCAAGTCCAAGGTTGATGGGGGCCTCTGATGCAACGCGAGCATCGCAACGACAGACCGGCCTGCAGCTCCGTGCAACGCGCCATCGCGACGGGATGGAGACGAAGGAACCGGGGGGGAGGACCGGGTATGTGAGAGGGGGACCGTATGTATATACATCTGAATTCTCTTGCACCATAGACCAACCGAACGAACAACATCCGCGTGCGCGCAACGACCGATGTTCCAATAGTAAAAATGGCTCGAGGTCGCACAAAGCGATTCGCGGAAATTGGAACGGAATTCGCGACATCGAATGTTTTACGTAATGCAGCCGAGACTCGATTACGATATCGGCACAATTCCGTACATAGTTTATCGCGGCTTTTGGAATCACTTTTAGCGATAAGAATATATGTAATCAGGGTGTGTGTCTACTCAAATCTTGTAAAAAATTCCTTGATCTTCCAGGTATTTTTATTCAAAATTCCAGGTAAGAGGGGAGAAAAAGATTTTTTGGTGCAATTTTTTAGAATAAGATTTTTTTTTTTTTTTTTTTATTTAACAGTTTTCATAGATAAATTCGGTAAAGAAAATTTCCTGAGAATTTCCTGATCTTCCCAGGTATTTTTGTTGTAATAGTAAAACGAGAAACCGTAACGCGTTATATTAACGTTATGTGACGCTTGTCAGGAAAATAAATAAATGAAAAAAATAGATCTGAGAGAAAGAAAGAGAGATAAATATAATTAAAATAAAATTAGAACTAAGACAAAAATGTTTCACATGTATCTCGTTAATCATATTCGAGCCATACGCAATCTTTATTTGCCTGAGAGTTGCGTTTCAGAAATTTATTCGATCATGTAAGAGGGGTTTCCAATACGGCCCCGAGGGAGAAAATAAATTCGTAAACTGGCAGCGACGATCCTTTTTGCGTCAATCTCGAGTCGTTGCCGAGTGAATCAACCGCGCTTTTATCGGGCAAGGATGTTAAGGGACCGAAATACATGGAGTGAACTTGGAATATAGGTGTTTCGATAGGGAGGGTCCACGGGGATCCTCCTTTTCGCCGTTACTTTCATCATTACGCCACTCTTGGCTGAATTAGAAAGTTGGCGCAAGTTTTAATTGGATAAGTTACTTTGAGAATCTAACTTTCGTATTTGAACTGCTTCGTAAAACCGCCGGGGGAAAATGTTAACAAGACCTATCGTCTTGTATTCCAGTCTTTATTCCAGGTTTCTCCGATTTTTTTTCAGGAAGTAGATACTCTGATTAATCTTAATATGGTCGATATAATTGCCACAATTTTCATAACATAAATTTCTTAATTTTTATACAATCAAGTCATATATTAATATAGATGCGCGAAATACTTGTATATGAAAGAAAAAAAATCTAAAATATCTGTAAAATACACTTTTACAGAGATCAAAAGTGCGTGATGCGGATTGCGGAAAATAATTTTAGGTGTCGCGAATTAAGAGGTACACATACGATGTCAAATAATTTCGGCCCGTTTGACGTTTCTCAGCAATTACGAACACCGACAAATGTCGCGCTGACAGGGCGCGGAGAGAATAACAGCTATTATATTATATGCATCCAGATGCGCTCAATAGCGTAGTATGTAGTATCGTGAGGTGTTCGGGAGAGGTGTTCGCGTGTTCTCGCATAAAAGTCAGTTCTCTCGCACATGTTTCTTTTCAGCGTGCGTTTTCGCGGACGCGCGCTCGCGCGCACGCAACGCGGCGGTTCGCCGCGACCTGTTGCAGCTGCAACACGCGAAAGACGATACGCAAACGTCCCTCAAAGCCAGTCGGTACACATGCGGTGGAAACTCTTTCACCTACTATCGTGTTTCCTCTCGGCTGTCTGCGCCGTTTGGTTCGTCGACATTTTTATTATTCCGCCGGACGACGACGACGATGACGACGACGACGGTTCGACGCACCGCAACGATTATGCAAACGCGACGCCGTAAATGCGGCTGTTTTTTTTTCTTCTTCTTACGCACGTATGCACGCGAGGGACGAATGCGAGGAGACTCCGTTAATACGACGACGACGGTTCGACGCACCGCGACGATTATGCAAACGCGACGCCGTAAATGCGGCTGTTTTTTTTTTCTTCTTCTTCTTACGCACGTATGCACGCGAGGGACGAATGCGAGGAGACTCCGTTAATAACTCTGCGTGTCAAAGTTCAGTGTCGACGCTCGGATCGTCGAACAGCTCTATTTGTAACACGAGGTCTAAGAAATCTTTCAATCATATGCATTAATGACTCGTGAGGTAAGAAATGATTACGAACCAAGGTTGAGACAGAGGAAAATGATAAATCGCAAGGAAAAAAATTCGAAGCGTTTTTTAATATTCAAGTAAAATCACGGCTTTTATACTTGCGTGTCTCGAAACTTTGCAGATTCCGACGAGAGCGTATATATTTCTCCCCCCTTTCCCCACAAAGAAGTTGATCCCATCAATCCCTCGAGTAAAGACACGAGACAGCCTCGAGGCTGACTTATCGAGCGTTAAATAATTGAGGAAAGGTCGGTGAGGTTGTTCAAGATGGGAAAACGACAGTGTAAGAGTCCCCCTCTGCCCCCTCTCTCCTCACCCTCCGAGCGCTACTCGATTTAATTATTCGGGGACCGCGGCTGACTATTTTCATATCTACATATTTATTTTGCAACAACTATTTGCGCGAATCGAAGGTTAAAAATAATTGAAAAAAAAAAACAAGGCATCTGTCACGTCGATTTATAGGTAATGCGGCCGGGTTGCATAATAAATTGTCGCATTCTCGTGGAACAGTGATCGTGATTATTCATCGTCTTCCGTTAACGAGGGTCAGGATTATCCCGCGAATAATCCGAGGAACATTGAACCTCGGCGGAAAAGTCTCATCTGGCAAGCATGACAAATTCATATTCATAGGCTCGGCTGGTCTCTCCACTCTTTCTTGAATTAAATCGCGTATACAGGGTTCTCTTTCACGAGTTCGCTCTCTTCGGAAACGCTAATAACGTTCTTTCGAAAGAGCAGTAATTATTTTTGCAGTTGGCCGAGACGCGACAGGAGAGGTGGCGCACAAGGGAATATTCAAACGAGTTTGTTGGCTCCTATTGAAGAGTCGAGCCGCTTGAGATATTCAATATTACCGTCGCGATCGAAAGATTATATACTTGCGCGCGTACATTTCTTGAATAAAATCTCCGCGCACGTCAAGGATCAAATTTACATGATAAATACGCGCGAGAAGAGGTAAAACAGTTTTTTTTTATAGTCTCGAGACTTCTTTGCCAGATACATACTTGCTACGAATGTATAATCGCGACTTCAAATACATTTTCTGCGCTATTTCGTGCGTATTAAAATTTCTTTCTGCGCGAGAAAGACAGATAACTCTTTTGCTATCAAATCAAAAGATAATAATGACAGATTGAAAAAATTTCTAGAGTTTTATTGGAATTGTTTAGAGTCTCGAGATATTATTTGGCGACTACATAATATCGTTCGTCATGGAATAATAAATTTACCTGTAGACGCCGTAGTGTTTGCCGCTTGCACGATCGCCGCAGATCGAGCACAGATGTTTGCTGCCCGACAAAGGATGATTAGGCGGATAAGGCGTGACCGTCTTGCTCTGACCACTGGGCGATGTACTCAGGAGGTTGCTGTGACAACCAGCATTGAAGGATCTTTACATGCAAAGCAGAGAGAACGATCGTCTATAAATCTACGTCACTACCTAATCGTAACGTGCACATTTCGGACAATTTAATGTGTTAACTAAAGGACCGCTATATACATACATATATACATATATATATATATATACCAAGCTTTCATTTAGCTTTCTTTATATATTTATTTTTAACATCTTTATTATCATTAAAGAGTATCAAAATTTCTTACAATCGGCTTCCTCTATCCATTTGCAATTCACGAATGTAAACATTTTATAAACTCAAAACTAATTCTTTTATTTTTTATTTTACCTTTTTGAAAACAATTTTAATTAATTAATGAGATTTTTGTGGTTAAAATGATACCAAACACAACATAATTCGGATAATTTTCAGTTAGATGCATAATAAGAACTTTTGTTATGCATCTAATTGAAAATTATTTAAATCGAAAAAAAATTAATTAAAAACATAAAAAATAATTTAAAAAATCAAAGGCAAATTCCGGTTTCATATTTATATACCTGGTATTCACTAAAGATTATAATATTATAAAAAAAGGGAATACTTACCCCGGACTGTTGGGACCCGATGGACTAAAGTTCCCCGGATTGATAAGAGCCGTGTCGGGCTTCATGTCGAGAGGACTCTGCGGACCCACTGACGACATCGACATATTGCTATCCAAACTCAACCCTGAAACACACACAACATGTTTTTCGAATTTATTTTATCTAAATTTTATATTTCGCATTCCATTTATCTTACTAGTATTAACGTCACACATTCGTATATTTAATGTTGCATAAATATCGTTTCTCTTTCTTGCAATTCTCTCGAAAGATCAAACATAGCACGCATGATGAACGTGCCCGATGCAAATTGCAGGCAATTTCTAAGAAGTTGCGTGAAAGATGCTCTTATTATCCGATACTTATACTATAGACGATCGCTCTTCGTGATACGATATATCCTTTTTAAGGATGTTTTGATTGTACAATAGTTAGCAAAAAGTTGTCCAAATTAAAAAAAAACATATTTCTTATGTTTATACTATTTGGAAAATCAAATAAATAAATCTGAATTATAAAAAGAATTATGTATCATAAAATAATATCGTTTTAAACATCTTCATAAAAGATAATAGTTGCAATTAATATTTTTCGTTGTACAATAGAGTAGCAAAAAGTTGTCCAAATTAAAAAAAAAAACATATTTCTTATGTTTATACTATTTGGGAAATCAAATAAATAAATCTGAATTATAAAAAGAATTATGTGTATCATAAAATAATATCGTTTTAAACATCTTCATAAAAGATAATAGTTGCAATTAATATTTTTCGTATTTTATGACAAAAACTTTTAAATAATTTCCAAACCGTTAAGAGAATTGTGCTCAGGTTTTGCATAGGATACTCAGAAAAAAAAAGTAGAATGGTCTACGAAATTTTCATGCTTTTGTCAATGTTTTGACATATGACGCATACATCCTTATATAAAGTGGTAAAAGGGCATAAATTAAAAAAAAAAACCACGAGCAGGAGAAGCACCTCGGCGCCTTTCTCGCTCGCATCTTCCGCGTCCTTCGCGCATTCCTTTCGCGCGAGGATGAGGACAACGACGCCTCTCGGCGCAATCGCGCCGGCAACAATTCACAGTTACAGGAAACCCGAGCGTAACCACGTGTCGTCGATCGATCAATCGATCGGATTCGACGATGCATCCTTCGAGACGGAGGAAAGTCCGCGCGCTCGCGCCGCGAGAAAAAGGAGAGGAACGAGCTCTCGGCCCGCGAAGGTCGAGCGATCGGGACGCGCGATTATATGCGGTCACGAGACGAGATGCGACCGCGAGGAGCTGCAGGTGCGGACGAAGGCGCTTTCAGAGCCTTCAGGGACCGTGTAATGCCGAGTTTTGTTCGGGGAGAGCGAGACTCTGTCATTATCCGAGAACGTCCATCGTAGGGATTTCTCTCTCCTCGGCATCGCGTGAATGTGAATTCTTTCCGTCTTTCTGCGGAGACCGTCCCCGCTTTACGTGCCGATAATATCATTGGTTATTGTGGTGTAGAGTATATAATACTAAGGATCCGTAAATTGAGTATTTATTATCCATTTATTAGAGGCAAACTCTCAAGATTTATAACTCTCGAGACGGTGGTGACCTTGCTATTTGTAGATTTGCGATAAGCCGTTTCTACAGAATGAAGGATCTAATTGCTCTTAATGTGCAATTATATAGAGCGTAAAAGTAGCTACACGA